GCAACATGGATTGTGAAATACACGACTCTACTTTGAGCAAGTCCTTTCTTGGGGACAGTCTTTTAGGGGAGCCACGTGTGCAGCGGTCCTGGAGCGGTGCCCGCAGCTCCCCAGAACGGGTTCTGCACTTTTCCTAGAGAGAGCATCACGTTGCCCTGGGGGCTGCACTCACCCGCTAACCGTGCTGTCCACCTCAGCAGCACCAGGTGTAGCCGCCAGCCCACCGGCACTGCTGGCGTGGGAAGCGGGTGGAAATGGGAGGAACTGCCCCATCAGGCCGCTGGGGATGGGGAGCTCAGTTCTGTTCAGGGCTCCATCTCCTGCAGCCAAATGTCTGGGTCCCCAAGTGGGCGACGTCTCTGCCCCGGGTCTTGTTCCTGGAGCCCACCTGGCAGCTGCTAGACATAAAAAAATGGAACAGTCACTGGGATGAGCTCAGAGGCCCACCAGCTGCGCTCCAGTCCTGGCTGGGTGACTTGGGTGATTGCTGAGACCGTCTGGGCCTGGCCAGGGTGTCTCTCTGCTCCTCACAGTAACCACACGAGGTGACTGTCATTATTCTCACTGCCAGAGGAGGACAGCGGGCTGTGTTATCAGCCTTGCTCTGACCACAGTGTTCTGTAGGGGGGCTCATTTTGTCCCATAGCCTGGAGCGGGCTCAGAGCCCTTTCCTGTTCCTGAGGATGTGGGGTTTATTCCTGACACAGCCGCTGTGGAGCCAGACAGGGCTGGCCTGGCTCGCGGAGGCCCTTTCCCTGCGTCTGCAGCATTCCTGTGGGGACGGTGCTCGGTGCTGGCCCTACTGTGTTTGTTTCTTGCGCTTCCCTCAGAAGCACAGCCCCGGATTCATCCCTGCAGGCGATTCCCCAGGGTTGCCAGCCACCTCCGTGGCTGCTGCAAGCCGGAGCTCTCAGTCTGCCCTCACACCCCACCCCAGCAGCCTGCGGGGTACCAGCCTGCTCGGGAAGGTCCTGGTTCTCAGCCATGTTTGCCAAGTGATGTGGTGTAAATAGTCCCACTGCAGCTGAGTTCAGGCTGCCAAGGTGAAGTCCTCCAGCTCACACAACTGCTGGAAACTTCGCAGTTGGCTCATGAGCCGGCTCCAGCACAGCACTGGGCTCTGAGGAAATCCTGTGCCACCCACCAGTCCTTGTCCTTCCTGGCCTGTCCTGTGTGCTTTGACACAAGAGATTGCTCTCTCCACCAGGAAACGCTTTTCTTCACTCACCAGCAGCCTCCCTCCTGGCCGTGCCTTCCAGGTCCCCTGGCTGGTCCCTCACTCCCCAGCTCTTGGTGGTATGGTGTGTCCATGCACTGTCCTCCCACCTCGGCAACCTCATGGGGCTCAGCTGTAGATACCATCCTGCTCGTACACACCATCCCTCCCCATGTATACCATCCACCCCATGTATACCATGCCCCCCGTGTACACCATCCTGCTCATGTACACCATCCTGCTCATGTACACCATCCCCCTTGTGTACACCTTCCCCCATGTACACTACCCTGCCCATGTACACCCATCATCCCTGTGTACACCATCCCCCCGTGTACACCATCCCCTGCTGTGTACACCATCCCACTGTGTACACCATCCTCCTCGTGTACACCATCCACCATGTACACCACCCTGCCCGTGTACACCTTCCCCTTCATGTACACCATCCCCCCATGTACACCATCCCCCTTGAATACACCATCTCCCTTGTATACACCATCCCCCTGTGTACACTATCCCCGTGTACACCACCCCACCCATGTACACCATCCCCCCCATGTACACCATCCCCCTATGCACACCATTCCCCTCATGTACACCATCTCCCCATATACACCATCCCCCATGTACACCATCCCCCATGTATACCATCCCCCACCATGTACACCATCCCCCATGTACACCATCCCCCATGTACACCATCCCCCACCGTGTACACTATCCCCTCATGTACACCATCCTCCTTGTGTACACTATCCCCTGTGTACACCATCCCCACCGTGTACACTATCTCTTCATGTACACCATCCTCCTTGTGTACACCATCCCCCGTGTACACCATCCCCACTGTGTACACTATCCCCTCATGTACACCATCCTCCTTGTGTACACCATCCCCCATGTACACCACCCTGCCCGTGTACACCTTCCCCTTCGTGTACACCATCCCCCCATGTACACCATCCCCCTTGTATACACCATCCCCCATGTACACCATCCCCCATGTACACTACCCTGCCCGTGTACACCACCCCACCCATGTACACCATCCCCCCATGTACACCATTCCCCATGTATACCATCCCCCACCATGTACACTATCCCCCCATATACACCATCCTCCCATGTACACCATCCACCATGTACACCATCCCCCACTGTGTACACTATCCCCTTGTGTACACCATCCCCCAGTATACACCATCCCCTGATATACACCATCCTCCTGTGTACCCCATACCGTCCGTGTATACCATCCTGCCCATGTATACCATCCTCCTCCTGTGTACACCATCCCCTCATGTACCCCATCCCCCCCATGTACCCCATCCCACCTGTGTACACCACCCCGCCTGTATACACCATCTGGCCCATGCTCCCGAGTCTCCTCTGTGAGTGCTAGGCCTACTAAGTAGCCACCTGAGTCACCAGTTCCACCGGGTGCCTGACAGATATGTCAGTGGAAGCCACCCCAAACTCAGCTTCTCTCTGGAACTTCCCAGTTGATAGCAAATCTACCCTTGCAGCTGTTCAGGCTCCAAACATTGGAGCCACTTTTCATGGTTCTGTCACTGCCCACATGCAGCCAACAGTGAGTTCTGGTAACTCCACCTTCAGGAGAGGCTGAGTCCCACCCTTCCCAGTGGCTGCTGCCACCCAGGCCCCAGCTGTATTATTCCAGCAGCCTCCTCGCCAGGTTCCCACCCTTCCCAGTGGCTGCCACCCAGGCCCCAGCTGTATTATCCCAGCAGCCTTCCCGCCAGGTTCCCGCCGCCTCATCACTGGGTTCCCGCCTTCCGCCCTCATCACTGGTTCCGCCTTCCGCCTCATCACTGGGTCTCGCCCGCCCCTCATCACTGGGTTCCCGCCTTCCGCCTCATCACTGTCTAGTTCCCGCCTTCCGCCCTCATCACTGGGTTCCCGCCTTCCGCCCTCATCACTGGGTTCCCGCCTTCCGCCCTCATCACTGGGTTCCTGCCTTCCGCCCTCATCACTGGGGCCTCCTCCTGTTCACACATCGGCAGAAGGACTCCTTAGAAACACTCCACAGTGCTCTGTCTTTGTTTAAAACCCTTTGACACCTTCCCATAGAACCCAGCCAAAGCCCAAGTCCAACCTGGGTCTGTAAAGACCCCCCTGATCTGCCCCCCACCCCATCCCGCTGACCTCATTTCCCACATTCCTGCCTCTCCATGGCCTGCTCTAGCTACCCGGAGCTCCTGGCGGTTTCTGGAACACACAGAAGTACCCCTGGAATTCTCCCAGCATCCCACATGACTGGCTCCTTCCCCCTGGGTCTGTGCTTACATGCTACCTGCTCTGACCTTCCCTGACCACCCGATTGAAAATGTCACCCTCCATCCTGGCACTGCCTGCCTGCTGCTCCAGGCATGCCCCCTTCCAGAGCACCCTAGAATCCAGGTGTTGTGGCTTTCCCACTCGACTGGGATCTCCACCTGAGCAGGGCCTAGTTGTCTGTTCATTGCTACATCCTGGTGTGTAACAGGCACTTGGAAAATGTGGAGGGAATGAAGGGCTGTTGCCATGTGTATGTGTTGGCAAGGGGGGTACATTTAAGCAGCCACCTGTGTGAGCTCACCTTCATCAGTAGGCAGTGTGACCATCCAGGCAGGTACGAGATAGCCACTCTGGCAAGGACGGGCTTCACAGAAGGGACTCGAGTTGGGGACCGAGGGGAGGGTCCCATAGGCCAGCTGCAGAATTAGAACACCTGCCCCCCAGCTTACCCTGGCCAGGGTGTTGAAGGCTGCAGGTCACAGTGATGTCTTGGTGCAGAAGGAGAAAAGGAGACCTGGGCTATGCATTTTCTTTTGAAAAGATAGTAATCTTGCGTTACAAGGTTTCCCCCACCTCCTTCAAACAAACACACACACAAATAGCTCATGTTTTTTCAACAAGGATGAATTGAGCAAGTTGGAGGTGGGAGGCCACGGGCTGGCCCCGGGGGGCCCTGGTGCCCAAGCCCTGCAGTTCCAGCACCACAAAGCTCTGGTCTCATGAAGATGACCTTGGCCTCTTAGCTGCCCCAACCAGGGCCTTGGCTGGGAGGGCAGGGGCTGAAAGCGTCTGCCGTGTGGAGGCAGGAAGGTTGCTCAGAGGATGGGCTTTCCCTCGGAAAGCGGAGGGTGGGCTGCTGTCTGAGGTGAACCCAGCAGTTTGGAAGAGTGTGAGGGAGATGAATGGTTTGCAGGGAGGAAGTCCAGGTGTTGTCCTGGAGCTAAGACAGAGCCCAGAGCCCTCTGTGTGAACAGGGATGGAGCCAGGACAGAGCTCTCCCTTCTGCCTGGTGGGCATCGGCTGACACCCAGGGCCTCCGTGTAGGCATGCAGGCTGTTGGCTGCCAGCCCTGCCCTCTGCAGGCAGCACCTCTGGCTGGTGGCAGAGTTCATTCAGCCCCTGGGCACATTCCCGGGTGTGTCTCTGGGCCAGTTGGGGCTGCACAGTTCTGCATTAGCTTAGGAAGTTGGTTTTAAAGACATTGATGCTTCCTTTTGTCTGTAACAGTCATTTCTATTTGAATAGAAAATAAGATCTGTGAATTAGAATTTTTTCCTGGTCAATTGCACTCCATTCAAACCTTTCCTTTTGATTTTTCATTATGGCAATTGTACATACCCCTAGTTCTCAGTTCAGATGGAGAGCGTACTTTTTGGAGAATTTCTGTCAAATATGCTAGTGTTGATTCTGCTGGTGCCTGTTTTCAATGTGAGTGATGCCAGTAGTAACTGTTTTTCTCCCCACCTGGCTGTGGTGCTCCCAGTCCTTGAACGCTGCGCTGAAGCACCTGTGTGAGATCCTCACGGACGATCCGGAGGGCGGGCCCGCTCGCATCCCCTTCAAGACGTTTTCCTACGTCTACCGCTACTTGGCCAAATTAGACACAGATGTGTCTCCTTCGGAGACGGAATCCTATCTTGCCTCTCTAAAGGAAAATATGTAAGTATGCACACACTCTAGGATTCAGGTATGTTGACCATGGGAGAATTTCCTGTTTCACTTCCCCCTTGTAGGGGAAAACCCAGTTTTTCCTTTGCTCTTACACCACAACAAGAATCAACACAGAAGACTGCTATGACCAAATGTGTGGAGGTTTTTCCTCACCAAAAAGCGAGCAAGCAGTCCTGCAGCGACACCAGCTCTGCGTCCTCATTACATTGCTACCCTGTCTGCCTGGAGATAGTGTGAGATCCCACAGGTGGAGGGCTCCGTCCCCGAGACTGCCCCCACCCTGCCGCATTTCTGATGCTAGGTGCAAGCCCCAGGTTATTTTGCCTGTGCTTCTGACTGACTGGCTGTAAATCAGGGTTCCCCCAACCCCTCCTCGGGTCAATTAGTTTGCTAGAATGGCTCACGGAACTCAGGGAAACAGTCATGTTTACTAGTTTATTACAAAGGATATTTTAAAGGCTACCACCAGTCAGAGGAAGACAGACACGGAGGTCTGGAAGGGTCTGGAGCATGGGGGCTTGTGTCCCCACAGAGTTGGAGTACGTCCCCTCCCTGCCTGCGAATGAGCTCCTGTTGGCCTTCCTGTTGGTCTCTATGTGTTTAGCTACCGGGAAACTTTCTAAGCCCTGTTCTTTTAGGGTTTTTTTTTTTTTTTTTTTCTGGAAGCTTCATGATTGATTAAATCATGAAGGCCATTAGTGATTACCTAAGCCATCAGCCCCTCTCCCCACCTCCAAGGTTAGGCTGGGCTGAAAGTCCCACCCCTCTAATCCTGCCTTGGGCTTTCCAGTGACCAACCCTATCCTGAAGCTATGTGAGCCGTCAGCCAATCATGTGTATAAAGAAAGAACTCACTTTGGAGATTCCACAGATTTTAGGAGTTGTATGCCAGGAGGCGGGCTTGAAGACCAAATATATATTTCACAATATCACGTCCCTTGTCTGCAATAACTTTGTCCCAACAAATCCCGTGTTTGGCAGAAGGTTTAGGCACACCTGATGGTATTCAGGGTGTGTGTAAGTGGAGCTGCAGATCAAAGGCCATCAGCGAAAGCAGGCAGCACCTCAGAAGGGAGCTGACCTCTCCTGTGGCTCCCACCCATGTGGGCTGAGGCTCAGGTTTCTTTAGACTTTAGAGGGAGAGAATGTATCCTTTCATTAAGACTTGTTTATCCCAAATCTATCCTGATTCCTATGTACAGCATGTCAGGTGGTATTAAATTGTAGCATGTGAAAAAGTGAGATAGAGGCTGGGCACGGTGGCTCATGCCTGTAATCCCAGCATTTTGGGAGGCTGAGGCGGGTGGATCACTTGAGATCAGGAGTTTGAGACCAGCCTGGCCATCATGGCAAAACTCCATCTCTACTAAAAAAAAAATACAAAAAATTAGCCAGGTGTGGTGGTGGGTGCCTGTAATCCCAGCTACTCAGGAGGCTGAGGCAAGAGAATCTCTTGAGCCTTGGGGGCAGAGGTTGCAGTGAACCGAGATTGTGCCATTGCTCTTCAGCCTGGGCAACAAGATCGAAACTCCATCTCAAATAATAATAATAATAATAATAATAATAATTTAAAAAGTGAGATAGAATTCCTTTCTCCACAATGAAACGTAGACATGGATTACTGCTGGTGGACTGCCTGACGGTAGTGCCACGGAGGCAGGATCATTTGCAGAAACTTGAGGATGTCACTGACATCAGTCACGCAATTCTCACTCCGATGAACTTGCTATATGACCCTGACACATGGCTTGGTGTATTGTATTTGCACCAGGCTGCATGTGATGTAAGGGTGGTTCTGCTCTGCAGCATGACTTGGAGCTGATATTCGAATATATTGTCCAGTGTTCTGATCACCTGCCACATTTTTTAACAAGATGAATGAATCCTCCCTTTAAAGAGAAGATGCAGAGCAAAAAGGAACGAAACTCTTGGGTCCTGCGGAAGTTCTCATTTGTTCATTCCTTAAACCACCATCGGATGCTGACTCTGTACCCTGCACTACCTATTGGGAGGCAGAGAAAGCAGCCCAGGGCCGGTGGGGTGTGCAGAGGCGGTGGTGACAACCGAAGGGCGGGGCCTGGGGAGCTGTGGTGCTGCAGAGTAAGCCTGGTTAACAGGAGAAAGGGCCTTCAAGGTGCAAGGGCAGGAAAGGGCCCAGTTCCTCCAGGCTCCAGCCCCAAGGGAGATGGGGCCCCTGAGGTCTTCCCAGCACTTCCCCTTGGGACCACTGCCCCCCAAGTGCTGGTTGTGGTTTGCCCCTGAGCCCCACACCTCTCATCTCGAACTGCCCACAGTACAGTTTACTGAACACCTGCTCTGTGCCGGGCACTGGCGCGGGTGCCGGGGATGAAGGCAGTGAACAGGTCATGCCCGACCCCTGGAGTTTTGCCCTGTGAAGCAGACAGACATCAGACAAGCAGATTTCAAGACAGCAGGTCATGCTGAGGGCTGAGACGACAGTAAGCCAGGGACAGGGACTGATGGGGGCTGGTCCCAGGGCCGCCTTCTGGCACAGCACATACCCCTGCTCGCCTCGGCCTCCTGAGAAGCCTCCTGGCCTGTCATCACACCCAGACTCTTGTCCTCTCCTCCCACCCTTTCTAACCGGCCATGGTGCCACCTAGGATGCTGGCTGTGGCACCAGGAGCTGGTACTCTATGATCCGCCAGCCTTCGCCTCCCTTCCTGCCCCAGTGGAACCTGCATCCTGTGCCCTGCCCCACCTGTCCCAGCCCTCCTCATCTCCGTGTCCCTTCCACACCGTTTCCCCTCCTGTCTTCAAACTCACATCCCCTCTGGGATGCCCACCATGGGCTGAGCCTCTGGACTTCATGGTCCTCCTTTTTCCTCTTTCCTCTGTCATCCACTGTCACTCCAACCCTCCTGTCCTCATGGAACATGGCAGCTCCCAAACTGTCTCTTCTCTCCACCTTATTCTTGACACCGTCCTGGCTGGTGTCTGCAGTCACACGGATGACCCGGTACTTTGTCCCCAGCTCTCCTCCTGATGCCCACAGCCTCTGCTTCTGCACCGCCATCCGGATCATGCCGGGCCCCTTTTCCTGCCCTATCTACTCACTTCTTCTCTTCTCTTGTGCTCTCTGACCCGGCTACTCCACCTGATGGAGGCGCCTGGGACACGGGTGGTCCCATCTCATTCCAAATCCATGTCCCCAGCCTCCAAAGAACTGGGACCCTGTGCAGCAGCCCCTTCTCCCACCACTTTCCTGAGACCGCCAGTCATGAAAAAAGAAAAACCTATGCGTATAGTACCCATCTTTTCACCTAGAAATAAAGGTACATTTATTATACGTTTTGGTACATTTTACACAAGAAAATAGAATGCTTTATTTTTGGAGATAAGAATTACTGATGAGCAACCATAAATAGTTTTTTAAAGTAGACTTTTTTTTTTCTTTTTTTTTTTTTGAGACGGAGTCTCGCTCTGTCACCCAGGCTGGAGTGTGGTGGCGCGATCTCGGCTCACTGCAAGCTCCGCCTCCCAGGTTCACGCCATTCTCCTGCTTCAGCCTCCCAAGTAGCTGGGACTACAGGCGCCTGTCACCACACCCAGCTAATTTTTTGTATTTTTAGTAGAGATGGAGTTTCACCGTGTTAGACAGGATGTTCTCAATCTGCTCACCTCATGATCTGCCCACCTCCCAAAGCGTTGGGATTACAGGCGTGAGCCACCGCACCCGGCCAAAGCAGACCTTTTAAATTATATTGCGTTTTGTAAAAATGTTACTAAGTATACGATGAGAAATTACCAATAAGCATCTTTATCTGTTTCCAATTTAGAGACACCAGGAGGAACGGCATGATAGGACTGTCAGACTTCTTCTTCCCAAAGAGGAATCTTTTAGAAAACCGTGAAAATTCTGAAGATGTAGGCCATTAATACAGAGAAGAATACATTTTAGTGTCAAAATAGTGCTCTTTAAAATTCTGGCACCAAATACAACTTATTCTGAATCACATACATGTGTAGTGTGTTTCTCTTCATGGGAATTCAGTGTGACCGTGCTTCATGGGGTCTGTTTCATGATTGCTCTTCACTGTGCCGTTTAAGGACCTGAAGTATAAGAAATTGTTAACAGTGAAATAATCTCTTTTAGTAAAATAATCTATTTGGTGACTGCAGAGTTGGAAGTGGGGCTGGGCAGTTTTAAAAGTAGCTTTTTGGCTGGGTACAGTGGCTCAGGCCTGTAATCCCAGCCCTTTGGGAGGCTGAGGTAGGAGGATGACTTCAGGTCAGTAGTTCAAGAGCAGCCTGGCCAACATGGTGAAACCCCATCTCTTCAATAAATAATACAAAAATTAGCCAGGCATGGTGGTGGGCACCTGTAATCCCAGCTACTCAGGAGGCTGAGGCAGGAGAATCACTTGGATCTGGGAGGCGGAGTTTGCAGTAAGCCGAGATCGCACCACTGCACTAGAGCGAGACTCCATCTCAAAATAAAAAACAAGTGACTTTTCTTCTCCTTGACTCTAAGCTGGTGGAGGGGCTTGCCCTTTGCTCCCTGCCCACCCTCCTAAGACTCCCTGGGAAGGGCATTGGCAACTGAGGCTGGATCTTTTCTATGAAAGGTGGACCCCAGGGACCCTGCTGTCTGGCCCAGCGTCCGTGGCTGGGGAAAGTGTACTGGACAGCAGCGTGATCCACTTGAATGGAAATAAGCATCCAAGATCCTTTATTTGCTTTCCTTTTATAAAGTCTTCAAAAAGACCAATACCAATGACTACATTTCAGGTTAGCTTCCAGGCCAGGGCTCAGGCCATGGAGAGAACTCATGCCAATGCCTGTCTGGAGGTCCAAGGAGCGAGCGTGGGCCCCTCTAAAACTTAGAGGGACAGATTACATGACGACTTTGGGGACAGCTTGCTAAGTGTCCATTTGGCAGCATTTAGGATTTCACCGTGACTATCTTGTAGGGAGGTGATGGGGGAGGGTGAATAGAGTCCCTGCTTCCTCTAACCCTGGAGGCTGCCCACGTTGACCAAGAGAACCTCATCCAACTGCTGACCAGCTCAGCATGCAACACAGCATCACTGGACCCAAGAAAAGACATTTGGAGAGGAGTTTTGTAAGCCTGAGCACAGGTGAGTATCACTGTAAACAAACTCCAACGTGAAAATCTGAATTTATAAAGTATAAATCAGGAACAGCTTCTCACTCAATCAAAAAGGCATGTGGTGTTTCAGTAATAAAAAGCATGAAGTGTGGAGACTTGGGGCAGCGTGGGTGTGATTAGGCCCACCCCTGCTGGCGAACAGGCCCTGGACTTTGTACCTTGAAAAGGCTTTTGTCTCAAAAAGCGAGTTTTTCTTGGGAATGACTTGGTCATAGAAGGAGAAATAGCATTCTCTATGAATCGGCGAGGGCTGCCAGAACGAAGTACCGCAGACCCAGTGCCTATGTAACAGAAACACTTCCTCACTGTTTTGGAAGCAGAAGTCCAAGGTGAAGATGTCGGCAGGGCTGGTTTCTCTGGAGGCCTATCTCTGTGGCTGGTGGATGCTGTCCTCCTCCTGGGTCCTCACTTGGTCTTCCCTCCAGCTTCTCCGAGTCCTCATTTCCTCCTCTTAGTAGAACACTGGTTATACTGTTTTAGGGCCCGTGCTGATGACCTCATGTTAACTTCATTACCTTTTAAAGATCCTGTCTCCAAATACAACCACAGTCTGAGTTACTGGGGGTTCGGACTTCAGCTTGTGAATTCTGTTGGTGGGAACACAAGTTCCTCTATACCACATTGCTTCTCCCAGCCCCTAGAATGGTTTTAGCCTGACTTAGCAAGTGAGAGCTCTGAAGTTCAAACAGAAAGATTTTCACATAGAAACATGTACTGGTGCTACAGGTATAAAAAGAAACCTAAATAGGAAAACAAACAAACAAACCATGAACCGGCCTTGTCTAGTAGACACTGTCAACCAAAAAGTATGAGACAGATCTCAATCAACTTAGAAGTTTATTTTGCCAAAGTTGAGGACATGCCTGAAAGAACAAAACCATAGGCTCACAGAGGCAGTCTGTGGTCTGTGCCTTTCTTCAAGGGCGATTTCAAGGGCTTCACTGTTGAAAGGGGAGAAGTGGGCTGGAGGGACGGGGAGGGTGTGGTCTTACGGAATCCACAGGCTGCGAGGGAAAAGGAGCAGACAGGAATCATCAGTTACGCATCGTATGGTCTTGTGCTCAGTAAATCCGCGCGTCACCCAAGATAAGGTGAACGCAGAACTGCTACCTGAGGAGATTTTAACCTTTTCCCTGTAGCTCTCTGCTGAGGAGCAAACGGAAAGGCAGCTTCCTGCATGACTCAGCTTTCAGCTTCATTTGTTTTCCTTCTGGCAGAGTGAACTGGGGTCCCAAGTTTTTATTTTCCCTTCATGACACCGTCTGAACACCTGTGTCACACAGTGGTGACCAAGATGCCAAGGCCTCATTCGGAGGATAAGCAGTCATCTGCCCAGCCAGACCCAAGGTTTCAGAACGCTCCTTAGAGTGGACTCTGGGTCTGGAGTGGAGTGGGGGTGGGCGCCCACCCAGGTCCTGTCCTCTGAGTGCTGGGCACTGGCCAGCTCTGCACGAGACTCAGACGCACAGCCCTTAGATCACCCACACATAGGATTCTCCTGCTTAACACTCTGTCCCTGTCCCTCCCCCCAACACAGCTGGGGATCTTCGTCTGGTTCCTGGTCACTCTCAGCTCAGTTCCAGCCCCCAGAGGTTGTCCCCGCCTCACCACTGGGGCTCCAAGTGCCCAGAGGCCGAGCTCGATCAAGGGTGGAAGATGAGCTAATTTCGTAATTAACAAAGCATAATGGACCACTCTCCATGCCATTTAGTCGGGGAGCTTTAAATATCTTGCTCTAACACCTGATTAAGGTGCCATGCTTCTGTGAGCAAAAAGTGGATTGTTTGTGCCTCATAAACCGGATTCCTAATCTCGGAATACTCAGGCAGAGGGCTGCCTCTCATCCAGGAAAACACGTTCCCTGTTCTGCTGTTGATTTTGACTCTTCTTGTTACAAAGCTGAATCATCTATGTTCCCCTTCGTAGCCTGCAGTTATTTCTTGTTAAAATAGCCAGAGGTAGTTGGGCTTTCAGCCAGACTGTTACTTGTCTTTAGGGGGTAACTCAAATGGTTTATTTAATAACTACAAGCTTTGTTGCAGATATCATTAACTGGTCAAGATGTTGAATAAAATAAACTGTTCAGGTGGCTGGTGTGTTTGAAGAAAGTGGCTGTGGGAGGAGAACAGCAGAAACTCCTTTGCTGCAATGAGGATGTGAGGGGGTGCCTGAGGACCCTAACGGGGTTGGTGGGGCTCTGGTACGAGAAGCGGGGATTTGCTAGCACATGAAGAGGAAGCCACATCTGGATGTAGTACCTCGAGAGACAAAGACGATTTTTCCAGTTGAAGTCACTTTAAAAATAAACTCTGAAGATGATGGGGCCTTTGCTGGCACCATGGCTCATCCCAGCACTTTTGGAGGCCTTAATCCCAGCACTTTTGGAGGCCAAGGTGGGAGGATTGTTTGAGCCTAGGAGTTTGAGACCAGCCTTGGCAATGGAGTGAGACTTCTTCTCTACAAAAAAATAAAAAATAAAAAATTAGCTGGAAGTGGTGGCATACGCCTGTGGTCCCAGGTTCCTGGGAGGCCAAGGTGGGAGGGTAGCTTGAGCCCAGGAAGTTGAGGCCCCAGTGAGCTATGATTGCACCACTGTACTCCAGCCTGGGCGATAGAGTGAGATCCCATCTCTAAAAAAGAAAAAAAAAAAAGGTCCCTGGCATTCATATGGTGTGACTTTGAAAAATATCTGCTTTTCCTTCATTGCAGTGTGGGGAGGAGGGTGGTGGGAAGCAGAATTGAAAAAGCTACAAGATGCAAATCAGTGGACGGTGGTTTTATGTTACAACTTAAAGAACAATCTGTCCCATTGAAATATATACCTTAAGTCTTTGTCCAGGCAGCAACAGCCAGTGGCTTACTTGGCTTCAGGCTAACTTTATTTGTTGGCTTCTGTATTTTTCATCTCTAAAGAAAGTGGAGTATATTTCTTCTATTGGTCTATGAGGTATAGGAAAAGGATGAAAGCAGAGAAGACTCCAGAAATAAGTGCTTACCCAGCATGGTGGAGTTCTGAGGTGGCTGGGTGGGGCCGATGATTTGCTTTTGAAATGATTGTGCTAAAAGTCACTCGAACTGACGATTGGTTATTATTTCTTGGCAATCACTAGCATACTTGTGAATTCTCATAGTGTGAGAGAATCTAACTTACAAATCGTTTCCAAATGTAGTGAGATTTTTATGTATACTCAATTTAGCAATTAATGAGGAATGAACACAAATTAATCATTTATTGAGTCTGATTTTGCTATTTCCATAATTTGCAGCCAATAATTATTTTCAAGTCTTAAACATTCTCAGAGGTCGATGAAACCCTTGTAGGCCTGCGGCTTTGTGCCTTAGCATCTCAAGAATGAAATGGGTTCAGGTCCCCCGTCCCCCAAGGAAAATCCCAACTCTATTATGTTGCTTTGTACAATCGGGTTTTCCTAGTTATTGAAGGGGATTCCCCACCAGGACTCCGTGAAGTGCACAGAACTAGGGTTAACCCCGCTTTCGAGGGGACTGGCCTAGAACTAAGATGCCAGGGGCAGCCAGGTCCTCCTTCTGCCCAGGGTTCAGGCCCACCCACCTGGCCTCACACTCCCGTCCCTCTCAACTCTTCCATCCAACAGCATTCCCCGTATCTGCCCCATTTCCCCGTTCTGGCTTTTGGTGAGGTCAGGAGCCCCCACAGGTGAAAGGAACTGGATGGGCGGGGCTGGGTTGATGTGCACTGTTTCCTGGAACCTTCATGCCTTCACCGAGGTTGGAGCAGGGGTCCCACGCTTTCCTGTGCTGAGTTGGAGCCAGTTGGCCTGGGATAGAGAATGGCTTTCCGGGCACATGTCCCACCTCAAACCCCA